TGACGAGGGAGTAGTATCTGGTTACGATTTATCATTCATAATCAATGACATGCAAATTCCAAGTGTAAATCTTATCTTTGGAGACGCAACTCAAATGAATACCAAAACAACATTGTGCTCCAGCTGCCAATCTCCAATGAGCCGAAAGATAAACCTACTTGTACATGGAAATGAACATTGTATCATCAGAGTTTGGGACACAAGAACATAACATTTCTACTCCCCTCAGTTTATTTTGGTAGCAATTAGAGAAGTCTGCTGTTCTAGCTAAGCAGCAAGTAATAGCGTTCAACCTTTAAATCATTACAAGACTTGTAGATAATCACGGAGATAACACTTTGAGTATCAATTATAAACATAGCATACTGCTCTTTCCAAGGCCATGTTTTGCTGTCAAATCCATCAAAGCATCATTTGGAACCATATCAGCATAAGTCCTTCCTGTTGTTTATAGAATCAGGTGTGTTTTTTTTGCGGGAAAGAACTTGTATTACTCAATAGTAGTATCCTTACAATCAATTGCAGCAGCCTGAAGGACCTCCGGTGGTCCAGACCCAACCCAGGTCATTGTTCTACTGCCGTCTCTAGCAAAAATTGCCAAAGAGATACTAGCTAAATTCTGAGTATTAGATACATGAGTAATACAAGAATTATTGCTTCTAAGTAACTTCTTAACATCGCGGCGCACGAGGAACGCGAACCTTGATCTATCATCCACTTCACTTTTTAACAACATTGCCGCAGTGGCAGAATTCACCTCAACTTGAATGGGCAACGTACTTTTCTGTATAGCAATCTCCAGCCCCTCTTTGCAAGCATACATGACAGCTTCTAGTATCTCGCAACATGCGTATAGTCTTCTAGAATCAGGTGTGCCTGCCAGAAAGAAAGAAACAACAGGATACATGTGTGAAAAATAAAGTAATATCGAACTTGGACCAAACCTTTATCGGTTAAAACAATCTTTGTAAGAATGATCTCAGGCGATTCGTTAGAATACTAAGCGACCTTGAGTTTTCCATAATAAACTTCCCACAATTATCGATGTTGAATTTCACGTTTCAGCATCAAGATTAAAGTATTTTGTGGCAGCTGCGAGTAGTTGCACGCAACACATTGCTTCTTGTGTATCTTTAACTGTGGTATGCAAGCAACCGTTCTAATTCCAAATCAATACAATTTTGATCAGAGAAAGATATCAATTACGGGCCAAAATAGAACTTCCCAAAGTTTTCCGTAAGTAATTAACTTTAAGCATCATGATTCTCTAACAGCAGGAGTTCAACTTTACAGATTAAAGACTAGAACGAGCACAGTGAATTCAGAATCATAGATTTACTATCCCACTGTAGTAAAAATATGGCTACGTGTAAGGTTGTTAAAGTCAGGCACTGAGTGCCTTTCATCTAAAAAACTAGTGTTAAACTGAGTAAATTTGCTAACAAATTATGTCAAGCAATAGACAATGAATGCGTAATACCTTGCTTGGAACAAAAAAAATCGCAGCAGAGTGGCTGCAGTATAATTAATTCACTTGGCACCTTACAAGGTCACCGACATGAAAAATGAAACTACTCTTGAATTGTGAACTGTTGTTGACTAATAAATCAGTAAATCACTAGAGAGGCAACTCAGCGTTGGGATCAGACTGGGCATTGAGGTTGGGATCAGACTGGGCATTGAGGTGGTGCACAAGGAACAGCCGTGCACGGTTAACGGCTGCAAAGTAGAGACAGATGTGTTCCTCGAGGTCGGCGAGCTGGCGTAGCAGGCTAGGATGGTTCTTCCGGAGCTGCCGCACCACCTCTTCGATGGTGTGGTGCTGCCCCCTCCCGCGCTCAAGCCCTAGCCTTACCAAGATCTTGTCACTCTCGACAGTGGCGTGGAGCCTGCCCACCAGCCGTTCAATGGTGTCCACGTCATTGTTGAGCACATAGGCGCCCCTGGCCGCGGCGTCAAGCCGGTCCATGTGTTGCTGCAGGCGTTTCATCCAAGCGGGGGTTGAGCAGCAGGAGCCACACCACGCTGCGCAGGCAGGAGCCGCGGCCAACAACGCGGTAACGGCGTGGGTGGCGATCACGAGGCCGGCGATCGCAGCCCCCGTCGCGCAGCCGATGAGGCAGATGCCAGACCCGCGCGTCGCGCACCGCAGCAGCCGGCGCCTCCGCCGGGCCTTGAGGAGGCGGAGGTCGAGATGGGTTTTGAGGCCAGCAAAGCTCCGATGCATGCCCTGGAAGCTGGCCGCGGGGGGCAGGAACGGGTTGGGTATTTTGTCGAACAGGAGGAAGGCGTCGAACGCGCAGTCGCAGTGCGGCACGGCGAGCGGCGTGGCGTGCGGGATCAGCGCGAGGACGTCCGCGATGGGCCCGTACAGCGCCCGCGCGCGGCGCAGCGCCCGGCGGAGGAGGAGGCAGTGCAGCGACGCGTTGTGCGTGCTGCGGAGGTAGTCCGCGGCGAGGCGGGTGAGCTCGGTGTCCGGCGCGTCCCCGAGCGCGCGCTCCACCACCGCGTCCTCCGGACGGAGCACGCCGGCGAGGGTGCTCCTGTCCTCCTCGTCCTCGTCTTGGTCGCCGCCGTCAACCCGTTGGCCGTCCACGACCACGTGGATCTTGCCCCAGATCTCGTTGTAGGAGCTGGTCTGGATGGCGAGCGTGTACTCCTGGCTGAGGTTGATGGTCGCCCCCGACGCGGGGCTGCTCCCCCACCCGCCCGCCGCCGCCGCACCACCGCCGGTCCTCCTCCCGCCGCTGCTAGGAGCGGTGCTCGAGCTCGTGCTCGCATTCGCACTACTGGTGTTAGCGCCCGCGTTGGAGCAGGCAGCCTCGTCGTCTTCCTCCCCGTCGTCCGTGTCCCGGTCCTGGCGCTCCCACGGCCGCATCGCTGATGCGCTGCTACTCTCGACTCGTCGGTGCGCAGGGAGCGCAAGCAACGAGCAGAAACGAGGCAAGCAAGCAAGCAAGTTATAAGCGCGTGGGGGCCGGAGGTGGAAGAGTACTCGAGTACTGCCCACTGGTGTGCGTCGTAAGCCAACGGCCAACGCCCAACGGGCACGAAGACGTTTGACCGATATATCCAACGGCCGGCGCTCGTGGTCTTGTGCGGCATCGTGCGGCTCTCATGCTTCGCCGGTTGCGGGCGTGGGCCGCGTGATAGCCGCGCACTCGCGGTAGTTGAAGCGGGGACGGAACAGCAGTCCCGTGCAGAATTCTCTTGTGTGTGTACCTGGGTGTGACAGTGCGAGGGAGAATCGGAGAAGACGAGCGCGAGAGATGATAAGGGCGGCGTCTCCGCGGCCTCCGTCCGCCGTGCAGCTACGCAGCTCCGCCGCCTCCTCCTCCTCCGCGTGCCCCTTCAGGGCCAGGGGGTCCGGAAGTAGGGTCGCGGCGACAGGTGGGAGGAGGAGGAACGCCATCTCCTGCTGCGCGTCTGACGACCGGGAGGGGGCCCGCGGCGCGGCGGCTCCGGCTCCGGCTCCCACGGCTCCTTCCGACGGATCGATACAGCTCTACTCCCAGATCGAGAAGTAGGTGGTCGATAATTCCCGTCGTTCCTATCTCTTCACCACGGACTCTCTTCCTAGTCTAGTAACATTTCGCTGCTGCGGCGGCTGGCGCGCAGGGTGATCACGGAGGCGGCGAAGCAGTCCAACCAGGGTTGGAGCTCCACCGGAGATTGGACCGAAATCGAGGTACCTTTCGGTAGGCTCTCACCTCTATTGCGAATTGCGACTGCCTTCTGCCTGTGTTTAGTTGGATTGGGTTGATCCCTGGTGATTGCTTGCAGGGGGCGTGGGTGTTGAGGCCCAAGTCCTCGGAGCCCTCGTTTGTCGTTCATTTCATTGGTGGGATTTTCGTCGGGGCAAATCTATAAGATGGCCAAGATCCGAGATAGGAAGACGAGGGATATTGGCCAAATCAAATGCATCAAGGACGGAGCAGACCAACTCTTGGTGAAGGACGAGGAGATTAAGCATAGATGGCGGGAGTACTACGACAAGCTGTTCAATGGGGAGAATGAGAGTTCTACCATTGAACTGGACGACTCCTTTGATGAGACCAGCATGCGTTTTGTGCGGCGAATCCGGGAGTCTGAGGTCATGGAGGCTTTAAAAAGGATGAAATGAGGCAAGGCGATGGGCCCTGATTGTATCCCCATTGAGGTGTGGAGAGGCCTCGGTGCCATAGCGATAGTATGACTAACCAAGCTTTTCAACCTCATTTTTCGGGCAAACAAGATGCCAGAAGAATGGAAACTGAGTATATTAGTACTCCCTCCGTCCGGAAATACTTGTCCTAGAAATGGTTGTATCTAGACTTATTTTAGTTATAGATACATCCATTTTATCCATTTTTAGGACAGGTATTTCCGGACGGAGGGAGTACCAATCTTCAAGAACAAGGGAGATGTTCAGAGTTGTACTAATTACCGTGGAATTAAGCTGATGAGCCATACAATGAAGCTATGGGAGAGAGTCATTGAGCACCGCTTAAGAAGAATGACAAGCGTGACCAAAAATCAGTTTGGTTTCATGCCTGGGAGGTCGACCATGGAAGCCATTTTCTTGGTACGACAACTTATGGAAAGATACAGGGAGCAAAAGAAGGACTTGCATATGATGTTCATTGACTTGGAGAAGGCCTATGATAAGATACCGTGGAATGTCATGTGGTGGGCCTTGGAGAAACACAAAGTCCCAGCAAAGTACATTGCCCTCATCAAGGACATGTACGACTATGTTGTGACAAGTGTTCGAACAAGTGATGTCGACACTGATGACTTCCCGATTAAGATAGGACTGCATCAGGTGTCAGCTTTGAGCCCTTATCTTTTTGCCTTGGTGATGGATGAGGTCACAAGGGATATACAAGGAGATATCCCATGGTGTATGCTGTTTGCGGACGATGTGGTGCTAGTTGACGATAGTCGGACGGGGGTAAATAGGAAGTTAAGTTGTGGAGACAAACCTTGGAATCGAAAGGGTTTAGGCTTAGTAGAACTAAAACCGAGTACATGATGTGTGGTTTCAGTACTACTAGGCGTGAGGAGGAGGTTAGACGTGATGGGCAGGTGGTACCTCAGAAGGACACCTTACCTTTTGATATTTGTGGTCAATGCTACAGGAGCATGGGGGTATTGGTGAAGATGTGACACCAATTGATGATATACGAGATAGAGTTGGGGTAACACCAATTGAAGAGAAGCTTGCCAACATCGTCGAGATGGTCTGGGCATATTCAGCGCAGGCCTCCAGAAGCTCCAGTGCATAGCGGACGGCTAAAGCGTGCGGAGAATGTCAAGAGAGGGCGGGGTAGACCGAATTTGACATGGGAGGAGTCCGTTAAGAGAGACTTGAAGGTTTGGAGTATCACCAAAGAACTAGCTATGGATAGGGGTGCGTGGAAGCTTGCTATCCATGTGCCAGAGCCATGAGTTGGTCGCGAGATCTTATGGGTTTCACCTCTAGCCTACCCCAACTTGTTTGGGACTAAAGGCTTTGTTGTTGTTGTATATTTGTTTTGAGGAAAGCAAACTTTTCTTCCGTACCGTGAAGGCCATCGTACTAAGGAAGTACAAGAATAGCATATGCTAACACAGGAAGTCTAAACAATTAACAAGGAATCAAGAATATTATAATAAGCATGATGGTGTATGTATCATTTGAGCTATTTTCTTAAATATTTTTGTTAGTGCCACACTCCCAAATACACAACACATGCTGCTTTTTCACATTAAGAATAGTTGGGTAGATATCATGTCATTCCCTCTTTCTAAACATTTGAGCTAAATTGATCATAATTCTTACAAACAGGCTGAAGCGGCTATTAAGCAAATTGAGAATCTAGGCCCTCCTGTTGTTAAGCAACTTCTTCCCTTAATTCAACAACTTCCTCCACTGTATATGGACTTGGTAAAGGGCCGAGAAGACTTCATCCCAAAACCAGAGGAGACACGCCGGCTGGTATGTTCAAACTCTTCTGTTATAGCATTTGAACTGTTTGCATTAAATTTAGGTTAGGTAGTGAAAAGTATATAGTAAGTCCCTTCTAACATGATGCTTTTTATTAACTTTATACTTCATAGAAATACATAAATTACATCACGTAGAGATGAAATTTGCTAACATTATTTCATAATGTCTCCGTTGTTGTATGACACTGGAGGCATCCTTATCAGTAGCTGTCGATTTGCAATTGTGAATTATCTGACAAAACATTAATTTTATTATCTTAGCAGTAAGCAGAAGAAGTTTTGTTTACAACAATGTACAATGTAGGCCACATATATGGTGTCCAGAAACTTTTACAAGGAATCAACAATTCTCCAAAATGATGGTCCTAATTTTAGCATTTGTCTAATACTCCCTCCGTCCGGAAATACTTGTCCAAAGAATGGATGTATCTAGATGTATTTTAGTTTTAGATACACCCATTTGTATCCATTTCTATGACAAGTATTTCCGGACGGAGGGAGTATACAATATCCACAAGTTTGAGTTGGACATTTTGTTAATTCTGAAACTTCGAATTTTACTTTTAGTAAACTACTCCCTCTGTCCGGAAATAGTTGTCATCAAAATGAATAAAAGGGGATGTATCTAGATGTATTTTAGTTCTAGATACATCCCTTTTTATCCATTTTGATGACAAGTATTTTCAGACGGAGGGAGTACATGATATGTTGTACGTAGATGTTTGAACTCGTCATTTTACAACTGCTATATACTTGCTGATTCACCACTTTTTTGGACAGATAAAATCCTACTACGGAATATCTCGAAATCTCCTAGTAAAGTTCGAAGATGACCAAATTGATGAAACCTCTATCATTGCACAAGTGCTAAGCTCTGAATCTGCCATTAGCTCACAGCTTGATATGTCGATTCGCTCACTTCCTGGGGATCATGGCCTTCCATTGCAACAGGTGCTTTTTTTCTCTGTCGGGATTCATACAAGTACTGTTTTGGACTCCTCGACAAAGCCATATATGCTAGACGAAATATTAATAGTTCTGCTGAAGATTAGAAGTCGTTGTATGAGTTGTTGCTCTGGTTTCAGCAAAGTAATTGTGTGTTGTTGGTTCAGGTACTTCCTGACGTTCCACCAGGAATGGCTGATGCAGTGAGCCGTGGAGGTGAACTCCTGGCAAATCTCACAACAGGCACACCATGGGAGGCTGTTGCTAAGGAGGTAGGTACCACTTTTGGCACTGACTCTGGCGTTCTGCGAACACAAGTACCCGAGGATGTCAATGCACTTGTGGATGTAATTGTTTCATGGGTAGCTTCAAATTCTGGCCCCAAACTACTTCGTTCATGACCACCCACAATGCTTGGGGATGTAAATAACAGTGTAGAACTGCGGGGTTTACTGACTACTGACGAATTATGAGTAATGGAAATTTTGGATCGCATGTCAGGGCTATATTTTAATTGCCGAGATTCATACTGTCCAGGGAAATCAAATATGAGGGGCATGCAGGAGTATTATAAGAACATTGAAGATGAATTAAAAGAAATTTCAATGTTATATACTCCCTCCGTCTGGAAATACTTGTCATCAAAATGGATAAAGGGAGATGTATCTAGATGTATTTTAGTTCTAGATACATTCTTTTTTATCCATTTTGATGACAAGTATTTTCGGACGGAGGGAGTATACATTATGCTTGTGCTGAGCCGCTAATTGTTACGAAATGATCTAGTTGTATTGTTATTTATTTTATTTGTAGCAATTGCACATGCACAAATGCATGTTTCTGTGCCGCGATATACTGCCTGACGTGTGTATTATCTGTGGTTATCATTCTTAGTATGTGTGGTGTGTTTTGTACTCTTGTTTCAAAAATGCATTAAGCTCTGTTGTGCTAACGGATGGTTGGCAAGAATGCCGACTGGAGCACTGCGCTACCTCATGCACAGGAAGGCTACGCAGCTCAATGTACCTATAGAAGCGCTGGCGAAGAAGTCACCTTACCACAGTGGCAAAGGCAAGAATACTTTCCTGACTCATTAGATCTTATTTTTGGCTTGCAATAATGATTGTAAATGTTGTAGGTTCATAAGATCATTGAGTTACATTTATCCTCGTTGAGTGTGAGCTCTTGATTTGAGTATGATCAGAGATTTGAAAATGAAAATGAAAACAAATATGATCAGAGAAAATGAATATGATCAGAGATTTACACCGTGCAATACTGGGAATATATTTGTTGCGAGATAACTATCGAACTAGACTGAACAGACCTGCTTTGTGTTAGATGCCACCTCTAATTTGTTGATGTAAAAAAAACGTTACTGAATAGGAGTTGCTGAATGTTAGTAGATTTGGCATAAAAATGATACCAGTGTTATATTATTTGTATTATTTTCACTAAACACGCAGCTAGAAAGTTCAGTGGTCAAGTGGTAGATAGCAGGTCTTCCCTAAAAAAAGTGTTAGATATCTTGTCCGTGTATAAAGTATAAGAGCATTATTGTGCTTGTAAGATTTAAGTCTCTTGTGACAACAGACGTATTGACCAGTGAAAAAAAAAAATCAGTAGTACCTGCACCTTCTCCCGAAATAGTTGCATATTTCAGTACGCGCTTGGTAGTTTTATTTTTATTTTTTGCTGGGGCAATTGGTAGAATTGGTATTGATGGGAATGGGGGATGGTACATGTAAGGGCGAACTCACACTAGTTCATAGCGCAGTTATATCAACAGATACTAGGAATCCACATAAACAGCAAAAGGATCAGCAACTGAGAAATGTCAGTGATACGGTTCAGTTGCAATCCTTCTTCAATCAATGATAGATGAGACAAGATTACCCATTGAAAAATCAAATTTATAGCGGTGCTATGCATACTACTACAAATTGACGTTTCAGTTAACAAGTCCTACGCGTATACCTAAGTTATCAATTTTATCACCTTAATATAAACTATATAACATAAAAATTATACGGTTTGAAAATAGAACATCTGAAGTTTATATTGATATATTTTTTGTAATATATGACTTGTATTAGGTTGGTCAAATTGACGATTTAGGGGCACGCGCACGTCCTGTAAACTGAGAGATGGGTAGTAGTAAATTGGAAGCAGATTTAATAATAATTTAAGTGTACATATCAAGTGGGAAACCTCACTTAGGGTGGAATTAATCATCGAAAAACCTTTCGGTTGACGTGTCAAATAACATTAAAAAAATCATCACAGCTGCAGATATACTTTCCAATTTAAGCTACCTACTTGTGCTGGCGTTTTAAATCCTATCAAATGTCCATAGTAAAATATAGCAACTTTTTCCTCAAAAAAATAACAACTTGAACAATGGTCCTGTTCGGGTTATGGCTCTCCATAGAATAAATATTTTACCTTCCTACCCAGCCGATACATGAGAGGATATGTGATGACTGGGCGTGTCCGCTCACTATGCTACATTTTTTAAATTCTTTTTTTCTTTCTCTCTCCATCTCATCGGTAAGATGCATATGACCAGATATACAGGGAGAAAAGTGGACGTATGGCTGCATGCATGAACAACACAGAGGCTTAAAAACAAACACACCCAAACACGGATTCGGATTCGCTCAAGTCCCCGCTGACTTTGCCGTAGGATCAAGAATCGAAGGCTGAGATTAGCCAAATCACTGTTCTGATTACTGTTCACATAAACAACTGTTCACACAAATCACTGTTGGTCACACTAGCATCCGATCTGATCCGCCACTTTTCAATCCGACGAACGAGACCGGGCAAAGGTAGCGGTACACTTTGCCACGGCGAGTCAGCGAATCTGAATCGCCCAAACACTAATAGGACGCGTCCGTGACATTTGAGGGGCTAAATTTGCCTAGTCAGCTGTAGATGCCGTTTACAACACAACCATTGGCCGTGCTCAAACGAAAGCAGGCGGGTTATCAAGGTTATGATTGATGGTTATCCATATGTCAGAGCAGACCACTGGATTGAATTGAATTGAATTCAAATTGCCACCTGCCATCCTGCACTCCTGCTGCTTACTTTTACGCTGTTGTCACCTGGAGCGGAGCCGTGCATGCACGATCCCTGCCAAGATCCACCAAAATGTTTGCAGGAGCTGACCGCACCGGCACCGGGAAGAGTGGACGCACGGCACCACCGCACGCGTGCAAGTGCAAGCCCAAGCCCAGCGGGCATGATGAGTGCCGGCACCACCGCACGCACGTACTAGTACGCCGGTGCGGTGCCGCCGCGGCAGCAGGTAGTGGAGGTGCCCCCCCGGCGGTAACGACAAGTCCATCAGACGGGTGCCTCCCCCGATGTGCATGGAGCCATGGGCCGCTTCAATCAGATCCGCGCGTAGCACCCTTCCTCATCCTCGGTATAAAAATAAAATGCAGGCGATGTGTGCAAGGTACAGGTGCATTTGATGCGAACGGGCGGAGCATGGATGGACGCCGTGCGGAGCCATGTGCGCGCGTCGTGCCCATGGCATGGATTTGCGGTTGCGGGAAGGCATGCCGACCGCAAATTACTCGCGGCCTCCAGCAGCACATCGTCGTCCATGCCCATCCACGCAAGGCTGAACGAACATGTTAACGAGCGCTCTAGTAGGCTAGTACCAAAATCATGGGATCGATCTGCCACCTGGTGCTACCGAGAGATAAAGCCCTCCCCCGAGCTGGAGATTCTTCAGGCGCGTATGTTTGACCAAGGATAGTAGACTAGACGTTTCCATTCCAGATCATCTGCTTGATCAGAGGAAGCCGCCCCTCTGTCACAACGTATTGCCGTCTGTTACGGAGATCAAGTAGTATACTCTTGAGCTCGAGATTTCTAAATGAAGCCAGTGAAAGTGACCTCGGATGCTCATGCTGGCACATGGTTCATCGATCCACTCCTCACTCACAGCAGCAACATGGCCGGCCGTTGCGTGTTATATACCATCACCAGCTCCAGCTGTGATGTGGAGAGAGTTAAGAACAAAACTACCACAGTGTACAGGCCTCATGTCATGTGCCGTCCGTCGTGCTCTGATCACTGCTCGCAAACAGCAGGCATGGGACGCTGCTGAGTTTGTGCTGGATCTACCATGGTGATGGTGGAGTAGCTCTGTAGCTGGCTGTACATTCTCTTGGAACAGGGGAAACACGTCCGGCCCCGTCTGTCGCGCTAGAAAACGGAATCATGGAACGGACACACGTCGGACAAGAACCATGACCATCGTACGTGTAGCAATCACTGCCGGTTAAAACAGGCAAGGGCATCGACCGACGACGACACCGATGAATGAACAATGTCAATGGAACAGAGGCGCGGCTCCTGATTCGGCATCGCGTGCCGTGTAATATGTTTTGGCGGGAAGCGTAACGTAAACCCTTTTCCCACTGCGCACCACGATTATCCAGTAGTAATTTTCATCAACCTATCGCAGGATAGATGTACTGCTACATCGCACGTGCAATCACGCATGGTCTCGTCTCGTCCCAGTGGCACGGCACCAGTAATTCCGAGTTGTTTTTACTTGACACTCTGCTTAAGACCCGTTGTTACCAGTGGAGAGAGGCAGAGCGCGCATCAAGTGGAGTGGAGCCACGCGCGCGGTCGCAGAGGGTTGCCCACCCCCACGTGCCCGCCCTGACCGAGCCCTTGTTTTTTTTCCTTCTTCTACGTGCGGTGCGATGACCGAGCCTTGTCACGGCTAGGGCCGCGCGAACCGGACAAAAAGACGCAGGCGGGAGTGGCGCTAAAATAAGGCGCACCCCCACGCCGCCCCCTGCCACTCCCATCCATGCTCTCCTCTGCCACCGCATCCGCATCCGCTTGCGCGCTCGTGCCCCTCTCCGTCCCCCAAGCTCCCCGCTCCCGTCCGCGCGCCTCCACCTTCGGCCCGGCCGCCGCGGCAGATCGGCATCAGGAGAGCAACTGAGACAAGATCCGGCACAGCATTACCAAGATCGTAGCACAGGAGGCGAGGAGGGCGGGCATGGAGGAGAAAGCGGCGGAGACGGTGGCGGCCCCGGCGGCGGCGGTTGCGGTGGATCAAGAAGTGGCCTACTGCAGCGAGCACCCCTACCCGCCCGGCGCCGCGGCGGCCGCGGGGGTGGCTGCCGGCAGTGGCATCTGCGCCTTCTGCCTGCAGGAGAAGCTTGGCATGCTGGTCTCCTCCTCCAAGTCCAGCCCCTTCCACCCGCCGCCTTCCTCCGTCACGCCGACCACCCCTCCGCCCAACAGGCTCGCCACCGAAAATCTTTATCCTTCCACCGCCTCTGCCATGGCGATCCCGCCGCACAAGGGCAAGACATCTTCCTCGGCGCCCGCCCCGGTGGCCAGCGGGCTCAGGAGGAGCAAGTCCGTGGCGCCGCGGCCGGAAGAGCCGCAGCTGTCGTCCGGGATCACCTCTGACGGCCCCCGCAAGAAGAGCTTCTGGTCTTTCCTCTACCCCTCCTCCTCCTCCAGCGGCCACCGGAGCGGGTCGTCGTCTCTGGCCAGTGGGGAGGGCGCCGCGTCCGCGAGGAGGAAGTCGGTGTCGGTGGCTTCGGCGACGTCGGCGTCGCTGGGGCGGAGGCTGGAGGCGATAGAGGAGCCTGAGAGCCCGGGCCGCCGCAGCGAGGGGTCGTCGTCCTCGTCGTTCGGGAGAAAGGTGGCGCGGTCGCGCTCCGTGGGCTGCGGCAGCCGCAGCTTCTCGGGGGACTTCTTGGAGCGCCTCTCCACCGGCTTCGGCGACTGCGCGCTCCGGCGCGTCGAGTCCCACCGCGAGCCCAAGCCCAAGGGAAGCGCGCTCGGCCACCTTGGCGGCGCCCGCGACGCCGGCGACGGCGACGAGGATTACGAGTACACGCAGCAGCACAGGATCAAGTGCGCCGGGTTCTTCGGCGGCATCGGCGCCGCGCCCCCGGCCTCATCCTCCTACTGGCTCTCCGCGCCCAGTGGCGGGAGCAGCGCCAGCGCCGGCGGCAACACGAGGGTTTCTGGCACGCGGAGCCACCGGGGCTGGGCGTGGGCGCTGGCGAGCCCCATGAGGGCGCTGAGGCCGACGAGCTCCACGTCCAGCAAAACCATCATGTCGGCATCCGCGACGGCAGGTGGATCGGCGGTGGCGACGAGTTAGCCTCGTCTTTGGATTGTTGCAGCTGCGCACTCCGCGATCAATGGCCGGTTATCAAATCATCGCTCTTCTTCTCGAACTATACTACTACTGCTTCTACTAGTATGAAAATTACTGCTGTTCTTGGTTCTGGTATATGTCCATTCGAGTCCTGAGAAACTGCTCCTAGGGGGAAGGATGGGATATGGGCCGCAGATTAAGCTCTAGCTCGCCTTTCATTTTGTAATTCTGTTCCAATTCGAGATTTTCTCCTGTGGTGTGGTGGAAATAGAGATGTTTTATGTTGAATTCATTCGTGTGCTGTGTTGGAGACGGGACATGGGCATTGAATTGAAAAGGAGAAATTTGGCAATTTGTTCATCAGTTATGTAGTACTCCTTGTTCTTGTGTGCCTTGATTCAGTTTTCATGATGCTGCGACCACACTATACTACGGGTGACCTGTTAAAGCATCTACAACCGTACCCGTCAAAAGTGAGTCGCCCCTCAAATCTCAAATGTCCAAGTCTACAACCGTCTTCCTCATAGCAAATCCTTAAATTCATACACTCTCATGGAATGTAAAACGAACACACGCAACGATATAAAGAAACATGCAATGTAAAATAAACACACGCAGCGTAAAAATAAACACACGTAGTTCATTTAGATCACATATAGCGGAGGGGATTCATCTACATTCCATCAAACTATCAAGAATTGGCATGTTCTAAAGGTTTGAACTATCGAGCTCATTTAGAGCAACTCTAACCGATCCCTTATAAATAGAGGAGTAAAACGGCGGAGTAAATTTACTCCACTTAGTTTTGACCATTTCTAGCCGATCCCCTAAACTTAGTGGAATAAAATAAAATTCCCATTTGCGTCACATACTCAACCATATTTCATTCAACCATATTTCATTCAACGACATTGGAGTAAATAATTCACCAATTCTTTGCCACTAGAGCAAGACCAATTTCACTCCCTTACGGAGGATAAGGAATCTGCTAGGTCCAGGTTTTACTCCTCTAACCGGTTATAAAGGATCGGTTAGAGTTGCACTTAGATCACATATAGCATAGGGTCTCCTCATACATTCCATCGAACTAGCAAGAAATTTTAATTTTCTAAAAACTAGAGATATCGAGAAAGTTCACCTACGGCTGCCCTAGACATCGCCATCTTCATCACGGAAGTAGCGGTCAAAGAAGCAATATGAATCGAGCCGGGTCTGCTCACTGCCAGAGCTATCTGAACCGCCACCAGCCTCCTTCTCTTTGGGGATAATATGCAAGGGGCACATACCGCCCGGGTTTGCTCCTTTATGAGGGCACTGAAGGAAATATGCCCTAGAGGCAATAATAAAGTTGCTATTTTATATTTCCTTATATCATGATAAATGTTTATTATTCATGCTAGAATTGTATAAACCGGAAACTTGATAGATGTGTGGATACATAAACAAAACACCGTGTCCCTATTAAGCCTCTACTAGACTAGCTCGTTAATCAAAGATGGTTAAGTTCCCTAGCCATAGACATGTGTTGTCATTTGATGAACGGGATCACATCATTAGGAGAATGATGTGATGGACAAGACCCATCCGTTAGCTTAGCATGTTGATCGATCAGTTTTACTGCTATTGCTTTCTTCATGTCAAATACGTATTCCTTCGACTATGAGATTATGCAACTCCCTGATACCGGAGGAATACCTTGTGTGCTATCAAATGTCACAACGTAACTGGGTGATTATAAAGATGCTCTATAGGTATCTCCGAAGGTGTTTGTTGGGTTGGCATAGATCGAGAGTAGGATTTGTCACTCCGAGTATCGGAGAGGTATCTCTGAGCCCTCTCGGTAATGCACATCATGATAAGCCTTGCAAGCAATGTGACTAATGAGTTAGTTGCGGGATGATGCATTACGGAACGAGTAAAGAGACTTGTCGGTAACGATATTGAACTGGGTATGAAGATACCGATGATCGAATCTCGGTCAAGTAACATACCGATGACAAAGGGAATAACGTATGTTGTCATTACGGTTTGACCGATAAAGATCTTCATAGAATATGTAGGAACCAATATGAGCATCCAGGTTCCGCTGTTGGTTATTGACCGGAGAGGTGTCTCGGCCATGTCTACATAGTTCTCGAACCCGTAGGGTCCGCACGCTTAACGTTCGATGATAATTTGTATTATATGAGTTATGTGATTTGGTGACCGAATGTTGTTCGGAGTCCTGGATGAGATCACAGACATGACGAGGAGTCTCAAAATGGTCGAGATGTAAAGATTCATATATAGGACGATAGTATTTGGACACCGGAAGTGTTCCGGGGGTACCGGGTACGAATCGGGTCACCGGAAGGGGTTCCGGGCAACCCCCGACCAACTATATGGGCTTAATGGGCCTAGGGAGGGACAGACCAGCCCACAGGGGGCTGGTGCGCCCCTCCATCAGGTCGGCCAGCCCTAGGGAAGGCAAGGGAGGAGGGCTAGCCCCTCTTTCCTCCCCCTTCTCAAGGAAGAAAGGAAAGGGGGGGGGGTGCCACCTCCTCCTTCCTTCTCCTAGTGCCAAAACAAGGAAGGGGGGCGAATTGGGGTGGGAGCCCAAGTAGGACTCGGCCTACTTGGGCACCCCCTGGCTGCCTCTTCCCCCCCTCAAACCAATATATATATGTAGGGAGGGGGCGCCTAGAGGACACACAAACATCTGTGAGCCGTGTGCGGTGCCCCCATCCACAGTTTACTCCTCCAGTCATATTGTCGTAGTGCTTAGGCGAAGGTGAAGCCCTGCGTGGATCACTTCACCATCACCGTCACTGATACGTCTCCAACGTATCTATAATTTTTGATTGCTCCATGCTATATTATCTACTGTTTTGGACTATATTGGGCTTTATTTTCCACTTTTATATTATTTTTGGGACTACCTATTAACCGGAGGCCCAGCCCAGAATTGCTGTTTTTTTGCCTATTTCAGTGTTTCGGAGAAATAGAATATCAAATGGAGTCCAAACGGAATAAAATCTTTGGGAACGTGATTTTCTCACCGAACGTGATCCAGGAGACTTGGACCCTACTCCAGGGAGTCAAAGAGGAGGTCACGAGGGTGGGGGGCGCCCCCCTAGGGCACGCCCCCTGCCTTGTGGGCCCCTCGGTGCTCCACCGACGTACTCTATATATACCTACGTACCCCCAAACGATCAGAGCAGGAGCCAAAAACCTAATTCCACCATCGCAACTTTCTGTATCCACGAGATCCCATCTTGGGGCCTGTTCCGGAGCTCCGTCGGAAGAGGGCCATCATCACGGAGGGCTTCTACATCATCATAGCCTCTCCGATGAAGTGTGAGTAGTTTACCTCAGACCTTCGGGTCCATAGTTAGTAGCTAGATGGCTTCTTGTCTCTCTTTGAATCTCAATACAAAGTTCTCCCCCTCTCTTGTGGAGATCTATTCGATGTAATCTTCTTTTTGCGGTGTGTTTGTTGAGACCGATGAATTGTGGGTTTATGATCAAGTCTATCTATGAATAATATTTGAATCTTCTCTGAATTCTTTTATGTATGATTGGTTATCTTTGCAAGTCTTTTCGAATTATCCGTTTGGTTTGGCCAACTAGATTGGTAGTTCTTTCCATGGGAGAAGTGCTTAGCTTTGGGTTCGATCTTGCGGTGTCCTTACCTAGTGACAGAAGGGGCAGCAAGGCACGTATTGTATCGTTGCCATCGAGGATAACAAGATGGGGTTTATTTCATATTGCATGAATTTATCTCTCTACATCATGCCATCTTGCTTAAGGCATTACTCTATTTTTAACTTAATACTCTAGATGCATGCTGGATAGCGGTCGATGAGTGGAGTAATAGTAATAGATGCAGAATCGTTTCGATCTACTTGTCACGGACGTGATGCCTATATACATGATCATGCCTAGATATTCTCATAACTATGCTCAATTCTGTCAATTGCTCAACAGTAATTTGTTCACCCATCATAGAATACTTATGCTCTTGAGAGAAGCCACTAGTGAAACCTATGGCCCCCGGGTCTATTCTCATCATATCAATCTCCATTACTTTAATCTTGCTTTGCTTTTTTACTTTGCTTTTACTTTTTACTTTGCATCTTTATATCAAAAATACCAAAAATATTATATCTATCAGATCTCACTCTTGTAAGTGACCGTGAAGGGATTGACAACCCCTAATCGCGTTGGTTGCGAGTAGCTATCGCTTTGTGTAGGTACGAGGGACTTGAGCGTGGCCTCCTACTGGATTGATACCTTGGTTCTCAAAAACTGAGGGAAATACTTACGCTACTATGCTGCATCATTCCTTCCTCTTCAGGGAAAACCAACGCAAGCTCAAGACGTAGCAAGAAGGATTTTTGGCGCTGTTGCCGGGGAGTCTACGCAAAAAGTCAATATACCAAGTACCCATCACAATACCTATCTCTCGCATTACATTATTTGCCATTTGCCTCTCGTTTTCCTCTCCCCCAATTCACCCTTGCCATTTTATTCGCCCCCTCTCTCTCTCTATTCTCTCTCTCTATTTGCCTCTTTTGCCCGTTTGCTCTTGTTTTCTTGTGTGCTAGTTTGTTTGCTTGTCGTCATGACTAGTCTCATATCTTCTCCGTTGTCTCCCGAGAGTGAAGTTCTAAATTTTAAACAAAGGGAGGGAGAAAATCTAAAAGATGCTTGGTATAGAATTTGCAATGCTCAAAATAGATCTACCAGGAAGCAATCTACCTTAGTTCTTCTCCGCAATTTTTATGTAGGTGTTAATCCTTGGTATAGATATATCCTCGATACCATTACCGGAGGGAACTTCTTGGGTAGCCATACTTTTGATTCTTATAATGCTATGCTAAATTTATTTGGCTCACTACCTCTTTTGGTTAATGGAACCATGTTAGCTTTGGAGCATGTTATGCAAAGACTTGAAATTATTGAAAATAAAGTTGCTACTATTGAATCAATTGAAAATCTAGATAAAAAGATCCACAATCAAA